GATTTTCTCCAGAAATAAAAGAATAAAATTTTTAAGAGACATTGGGGGGGGGGAGAATCACATATTTAGAAAGTAACATGTAAATGCAAATCCTTCTCCAAACTTAAGACTTTGGAATTCTTTAAAATAGATCTTATTTTTTCACATGTTGGCATCAAGTTAAGAATAACTTGATGTTTATCCCCTTCCATCAAACTACCTTTCATTTAATGGGTACTTATCTAGTTTCCAGTTCAAAAAGACCAACCAGATAATGAACAAGATTAAGCTGCTATCCATTTTTATTCTAAACTTCCTTAAATAACCAAATGTATATAGGAACATGTAATGACAACTGAAGAAGTTATCTAAAACTGACAACTGGTTGTAGCCAGTAAATTAAGATGGATCTTGGCAGTGTCAGCCAGATGGGCCTAGAACGCAGAGTTATGTTTGGAACTTGAACACAATATAAGCATAGGAAATCATCATGAATGTTCTGAAACACACAGGTCATGCCTATTTAACTAGAAGCCAGCAACCAAAAGGTGTAATAGCTCAATATTAAAATTTAAAAAATTATAAATAGAAGGTATGGTCAGTGCTGCCAATTAATAAATTATCTTAAAATAATCAGAGAGAAGACACTATTTTATGTGTTACTACAATACAGAATTATCATTATTCTGTCAGTGGATGTCTGGGTCTTAGCTAACTCCTACAATCTGTTTTTGTGAATATCTTATTTATAAAAAAAAAAAAAATGTAATGCCACATTCAGTATATTCTGTTACAATGCAGCAGTTTTATAAAGTTTGTTTGTCATACACTTAGTGAGCAATTTCAAAAATTAAGCTACTGTAATGAAATATCTGAATTATTTTTAAAAGACATTTACTAATACATGTGTATCTATTAACTTATGTTGCTTGGTATATCTTATTAAATTAAAGAATCTGAAATTAAGATTTACATGTCACTTATATTTAATAGCAGGGATGTAGCCCTTCCATACACAGAACTCAAAAAAATGAATAAGTATGTTCATTTTTGCTTCTTTGATTCACTACTAATGTTGTTAAAGAGGCAGTAAAAAAATAAGTAAATATGATCATGTGAATTTCTGTCATTATTCTATTTGCTCTCTCTGTTTAGTAATAGTGTTGTGATTTGATATATTTTTGTTTCATTCATTAACTCTATTTCCTATCTCCTAGACCAGCAAAACCATCCTGATGTCTGAAAGCTGTATTCACTTCTTTCATCCCACCACAAGCAACAGAAGTTCTGTCTGGTTCCATCTCCAATATGAACTCAGCATTGTAACATCATTCACAGAAACTAAAGTTAGGATAGAATTAAAAATAGTAATAGAATACGTGTTTCTTCACAAAGTGAACTCACTTCTTTCTAGTGAGTTCTAACTCTAACTTATTAGCTGAATCATAGATTTCAGGGGGAGTTATTTGTATACGAGTTAGAGCATCAGACTCCTACAAGTAACGACACAGGGTTAGGTAGCTGGGAAAGCTGGTAACCCTCTGTGGCCTAAGTAGGAAGAAGTATGCATTATAATTAATTGTATTTTATTATTACTGGTTAGAAGGGTATAAGAAAGAAGTCTTTTACAGAAGAAACCATAGCAATGACTACTCAAAGAAAAAAAAAAACCCACACACATTTAACTAGAAATTTTTATTAATTTAATTTTTTAGATGCTAATGTAAACTTTTCTTCTAATTTTACTATTTTACTTTTAAAATTGATACTGTAAAAACACATTATATGTTTATATCTCATTTTAAATTCCAAAGTATTCCTAACTTGGACCTTTGATACTGGGTCTTTCACCACTAGCAACATGCACTCAGTCCTTTATTCATAAAACAACTTTTATCAAGAGTAAAGTCAAACTTCACCATTTTTTGCCAACCTCGCTTCCCAGACTGAAGATACATGCCTTACACAGTTCTGTGAGGTTCTGTGTACCCAACCAAAAAAGTCACAATAACAGAATTAAAGATACTGCCCTTTTTTTCCCCTATGTTGCTCAATATTTGAAAATTATCATAAAAGAAAAAACAAACAAACAAAAACTTACCATGGGGATGAAAAATAAGCATGCACTCAAAGAAACAGACCAAAGCACTATACAGAAAATAGATGACTGCATGAAATAAACTGGCACTGAGCATCTGAATTAATATGTACACGTAAAAGAAAATCAGAAAACTAAAAAAATGTATCTATTACAGAATACAATATCACACACTACTCTAATTCATATGTGCTCCCATTTTTCTGTATAGATATAGACCTCATTAAAGTCAAAAGCAGAAGTTCTTTGGATTTCACTGGAAACTTTCATGCTTACATTATAGTATTTCTGCACCTGTATTTCATGGCAGCCACTCTTAAAACCTGCTTTTATAAAGCTCCAGTAAGCATACAACTCCATTTCCACTTTGTCTTATTTACAACAACAGTATTAAAATAATTTTTTCTGATTATTTACTTTCCTTTAAAATGTAAGGATATCTACAACAACTTAGCTGAAGTTATTTGTGGCTGGAGTGTTTTGGGTTGGTGGGGTTTTTTTCCTTCCTCAATAAAACAGTTTCGAAATTACAACTGTGAATTTTCTTTGTTGAATGTCAACTACACCCTTACCAGCCTAGCCAAGTCACAACAGGTTCACTTTTTTTTTTTAAAGATCATGTCAGAGCTTTAACATCCCAAAATTACAGATATTTACCCTTACTGTGGGTAGGAAGTTAGATTTAAATTATAGTTCTATCTTCCCATTTCAGTTCTGTACGCTTATACGTAGCAATAATGTGTATGCAAATAGGTTTTTGTTGTTTTGAGTTTGCGTGGTTTTTTAACCAATTCAATGCAATAAACTTTGCACCATCCATATAAAGTTAATAAACCCCTCTCCTTGAATTTGACAGTAACAAAAACTCCAACGTAGAATTCCCACCAAAAGATGGGCCTTTAGACCCTCACTTTCTCATGGAAGTTACACTGTGCTGATGTTTTATTTGCATGCAACAAAGGACAGATTTAAAAAAAATTCTTCTCATGTCAATTGTTGAGTACTTCTAAAATGAAGACTTTTGCATTCCCCTATTTTAAAAGGAATTTAACAGTCTTACAGCTATTAGAAGCCCTTAGATTCAGACTTAAAAACCCCTTCTCTTATGGCAAGAAAGCATTAATTTTAATTTTTCTAGAAATTAGAAAAATCAATGTACTTACTTCATTTCTAGAATTTCTTCAAGCTGTTTTCTTCGCTCTATTCTCAGGTTAGCCAGATGTGCTTCTTTTTCAGCCAAAGACTGCTGTGTTGAGGCAAGACGGGCTTTGGTAGCATCTAATTCTTGTCTAGTCTTTTCCAGTGCATTCATCAGCTCTTCTACCTAAGAGAGAGAACTTTTTAAGCTCTATATTCTTTACAGTAAGTAAATCTCAAATCTCTATAAATCCAGCAAAAAACCACCCCACGCTAAAGGAATTATTTCAAGTAAATGGCTGTTCAAATCCATTCCTGTCTTAACTGTTTTAAAAACTAACAACAAAAGTAGTCTTTAAATACCGAAAAATCTTAATGTTTCCATGAATCCATCAAGAAATAAGCAACATTTATACAAAAAAGAACTAACACAGATTGCCAGAAATCTACTTAACCTGGGCCACTGCCACATACAGACACAATTTATAAATATTTTCTGCATCATTTATCTTATTGAAATTCAGGGTCATGGTAACTCATCATAACAGTAATTTCAGAAATTTTAGATGCAGATATAGATAAAAACAGGTCATGATAATCCACGTATTTTTCAGCAAAAAATGCACACCCTTCTATGCAGAACAGGTTGCCCAGGGAAGCTGCAGACTCTCCAGTCCTTGGGTATTTTCAGATCTTGACTGAATGAAGCCTGGAGAATCTGATCCGACTTCCAAGTTATCCCTGCTTTGAGCACGGGTTTAGACTGCATTGCCTCTAGTGTCCCTTCTAACCCAAATTATTTTACGATTCTGAACTTTAAATGCCTGTTACTGCTCTAATAACAACAAAGTTATTTTCCTCATGACAACTGTGAGAATCTCTGAAGTATGAAATATAGGAAAGTTGCGGTGATCCCACTCTTTTCTTTAACATTGGTAAATGTCAACTGGATGTAGGATAAATTGCTTATTGCAAGAATTCAGAATACCTTCACCTTTTCAGAAAACAAAATTCAGAAGTAAAAAAAGTGTATGACATGGTCTATGACATTATTTAAAGAACACACTAAAGAATGGAGGCTACATATGACACCTGTCTGGCAGCAGAAAATCTGCTTGTGCGGTGAATCATTATATTCACAGAACGAGAGGGTCACGAATAGGCTCTGGTAACCACGACACCGGTATGATTTCCCCCTATTCAAATGATACAGTTTTCATTAAGAGCTGCAAGTAGAAAGCAGATTTAGTTTGTTTTTATGAGATATAATGATTTAAATAATGAAATGTCCTATTTCCTGTATTTTCTTTCTCACCTCCTTTGTCCAAATATTAACATTTTATAAATTAGCCAATGCTTCGGGAAGAACATCTAAATAAAATGAAATGGGAGAGAGGATATATTCCAGTTGTTCATATTATGCAAGTCATTGACAAGTGTTCACTTTTGCTGGTGTATTGAAAAGTCTGACACTATGCCACCGTGCTCATATAACCAGTGTGTCTACAGAGAAAACAAGATGTTTTCTCCCAAGTTCATGCTTAATTGTTGTTGTTATCTAAATCCTACTAGCATGCAATCAGTGTTCATAAGCCACATACTTTTGTTTCAGTTTGAACACACATTGCCTCCTATAAACAGGTTCAATAAAGCACAATGAATAATACAGTCTTCATCAAATTATGAAGAGTACTCACACTGATTACTCACTCCTTCTACACCAGCTGCATCTGCATCTTTATAAAAACTCTAATAAGATCAATACAATACTAGAACACGTCTGATACCCTTCAGTGTGTAAGAAGTTATATTTCATGAATGCAGAGTCAGAATTACCAGTAGTATTGAAACTACTGATGTTCAACCTTGCACTCAGAAAGGAAAACCAGTGTAATACTGATAGAAATGAAATAGCAAGGAGTGCAAATTATGCGGTAGAGTCTGTGCAGGTGCAAGATTCCACTAAAGCAAACAATAGAGATCGATGAAGGCTTTAGATACCTCTGTAAAATTACTATCTAGTGAACTTTCACAGGAGAAGCAGCAAAGAGAAAATACACTTGAGGGAAATAAAAAAAAAATTAAAAAGTTGGATTTGCGTTTAAATCCCGACGGAGGAAAAAAAAAACCCAAAACAACAAACCACCACACAGAAGGAGAGAGACTGATCATATTTCTTTAAAAATATACTCAATTTCTAATATAACACCAGATACTTCATTTTCTGTTTTAGTTCAAGAACACAAACCCATGCTGTCTCCAACAAGGACAAGCCTCAACTCCTAAAACATAATATGATATTTCTCCCTGTTTTCTTGGGTTATTTCTTGGGCTCATCCTTGTGGTTTTTAAAAATTGCGTATAGTTTCTGCTGAGCCTCCAGCCTGTTATAGTTAATTTCAGGCGACATACATTAATGGAAACAGTAGTAAGGATTCAAGACTGCAAAGTCATTCATTCATACAGATTCCTGCTTTGAGACAGTATCTTTAACCACCAAGTCCCTCCACACTTGCAGCTTTGTTTGGCAGACGAGAACATAAAAAGGCAGAATAGCGGCACTTCTGTATCTTTAGTATCATTGCCCTCCTTTTCCTACAGGTTCAGCTGAATTTAGTACCCAACCTGTTGACTGACGAATGCTCACCTAAGTTCCGATATATCACATCAGTTACATTTTAAAACATTTAAGGGAACTAAAGACATGGAAAACAAAGCTGTGGATTTGTTAATGTATATTAATAACATACTCTTATGTTACCAGACAAAAGAGATCAAAGTTTAAAAGAGAGGGGAAAAAACATTAAAAATTTAAATAAGAAAACTTTTTCAAGCCACAAATCGTTAACGCGTGTAGACTTGAAAGTTATACCTTCATTTACACTTTCAACACAATATTTGCCAGCTAGTTCTTCCTTCATTTTTTGAATATGACCCAAGTTCAGAGCTGTCTGTTTTCCTAGTTAACTGTCTCACCAACACCTACAGCAGAATTCAACTGGCAGGCATGTGCAGCAGAAAAAAATTTTTTTTTTTTTAATCAACTACTATCAAATGTAGATGTGTGAACGCTGAAGTTGTACACACAATCAGCTTAGCATGTATGTTCTATAGCTGTAGCAAATATATTACAATGGAAAATTAAACATTGAAAGCAGTATTATCTAGATACAAAAGTCTAGGGGGAAAAAAACAACATTGTAAACCTAAACCAAATTCTTAATGTAAGACCATGTTCTCTTCTTTGATATTTGAATTAAAATGATAGCAGAAAAAAAGTTAAGGGTTAATATTGATTTACTACCTCTTAGTCCTACTATAAGAAATGGAAACAAATCCAGTACCACTAGTGCAAAATTTTAGCTTTCTGACCTATGCCAAATGCTTCTTTTGCGGGATTTAGGGGCACTTCATCTAGAGAATAACGTGCGTCCAGGAGTCCCTTCCTCTCCAAAGCACTGGTATGGTTCTGCCTTCCAGTTTCTTTTTAGTTTTTCCACTCTCCAGATATTGAACTGAGTCCTCTATTGAAGTATCATTTCAATAAAGACCAAGTAGCACATTTACATACTTTTCTTATTATTGTACAAAGGATCAAGACAAAGTTTGTTTGTGACCACATTTGTTACCTGTAATATCTCATCCAGCCATTTTCCTCCCAAACAGAAACATCTCTTCTACCTTAATCATCACACATGCACCCTTAAGACCTTTATTTACACAGAAAGATAATACAGAAGATTCTCTCAAAGTAATTGCTGTTGATCAGTAACACATTCTAAAATCCAAGCAGCATTTTAAATGCCTTCAGGTGCTGAAGCTAGGGCAGGCATTGTCACTGTGCAAGCCGGGCCGATGTCTCCCCGGCAGCATCCCTGCCTTGCAGCGGCACCTTTCGGGAAGGCTGAGGCCTACAGCTCCCAGCTCCCCCAGGCTGCCGAGGGACCCAGCCGGGCAGGGCAGGTAGTGCCCCAACACCTGCTCAGTTCCCCCCCCCCCCCTTAGTCTAACTACTTCTCACCACCAACTCTGCCAGATTAGAGACTGGCTAAAGAATTATTAAGAATTCATGTGCTGAAAGAGTTTACTGTGAGAACCTCATGGAATACAAAGTTCTTTGCTAGTAAGTACTCTATGCCCCGAATACGTTATTAACTGGGTTTTCTTCCCCTTTGCAAGACAACAGCCTCATTTTTTCTTTTGCATTTTCTAATAAAAGCCATGATTTTTTTTTTCACACTTTCAGAAAGCCTAACTAGCCTCAGCACTTCCAAGGATTTTATTAAAATCAGTATTAGAATTAAGTTTATATTTCAAAATGGCAGAACACCAGCAAACTAAACTACTACAATTCTTTCTTAGTTTTAAGTCTATCTTAAATGAACACTTTCTACTTCTGCAGCCTCACATTTTCAAGTCCAATCAGTAGCGTTTCACACCAAGATAAGAAAAGAAAAAGAAATCAGTGAGGCTGAAGTATACATCTGTGTTACCAGATTCTGCAAATTAAAGAAGGTTAGAGTTCAAATGAATGACAGTTTATTAAAAATGCCCTGAAGCATTCTTAATTCCAGATTGGATTCGGCTCAGCACAACTCGTGCTGATATAATACTGTTCCAGTTTGTGGGAATGAGGAGGGGGAGGGACAATTGCATGTTTTCTCAGTTCAAGTATAACATATTTCTGCAGGATGACAAAGAGCTGGCAACTTTCCAGCAATCAAGGTTAATATCATTAATATTACTATCTTTAAAGGCATTTTAGCAACAATATTGGTGATAAATACAAGAGGTTTGGATTTCCCTAACTGACTTTTTCAAGTATCAATAGCTACACAAAAACTGCATACCTACTTCAATTTAAAACCTCATCTTGTGTTAGTAAACACAAATCATTTATGAATTTTATATAGCAAAATAAAATAAATAAATCCTACTACTTATAGATTCTTCACTTTTCTTTAATACAAGAATACTAACCATTTAAAAAAAGGTTTAACAAACTATTACTTTCATCCAGTAGGGGTTTATGTGAGCTGCAGTTTTATAAGTCAGTCGGTGTAAAAATCCACCCAGCTGTTTTCAAGGAGACGCTTTTTTTTTTTTTTTGGCCAAGTTACACACTATATAAGTTTGTTATGTCCAGTTCTGTGAAGATTAATTTAATAACAAATATA